GCAGTGGTTTTAGAAATACTATTCAATGTGGCTGCCACTCCCATATCATTAAATACATGATTCAGAGATTGAAGGATTCTTTTTACTACGCATCTATGTGGTGGTGGTGGTGGGGGCCGGTCATAACCACTTTTAATGATTTCTTGTTGTTTTTAGCTTCGAAAAATGCTTTAAGGTTTGCCTAGCCCCAAATGGAAATTAGAGCCCGAATTTTTACTGTCTCAAGTTTTATTCTCACTGTTCCACTTTATTAACTCATTTATGTTACAAGTAGATTGCCGGAGAAAGCTTTGTGGATTTTTGGATGGTCTCTTCCATATATATAATATGACGGTTAATGGAGAAAGTAGTCTGAAGGTGACTGCTGAGGACTCGCTGCATCTAGTAGAAGCATTAAGGTACATGTCTTCATAATATTTTGAAGATGGTCGATTGGATAGGATTTTACATTTGGATATAGGTTGACTGTTCCTTTTTTATCTTCGTAGCATGGTTATCACTGAACTTGTCCCCGATCAAGCCAAGAGAGCCCTAGAGGCATTGTGTTTGCCTGTTGTCACTCCTCTGCAAGTTGGTTTTTTTCCCTTTCAAACAATGAGCTCTTTCCTTCTGTCAAATTTTAACAAATTTCAGTGTTAATAACCAGGAAATTGCCAATCAAGGCCCAGAAGTATTGAATAAGAAACCTTCGAATGAGTTGACAGTCCACATTGACCGGTTTGCATATATATTCAGGTGTGATACATGTCCATATCTTTGTATCTCTTTTTCTTCCTAATCCTCTTGATATGTTCTAAATTTGAAAACGGAATCAACTTTAGATATGTAAATCACCCGGAAGCTGTGGCAGATGCAATACAGAGGCTCTGGCCACTTTTTAAAGCCATATTTGACATGTAAGTTTTTATTTTTTTTTATTTTTTTATTTTTATAATAATAATAAGGAATCGACCTTTCATAGAATGTTCAAGGTAAGTATTCGTTAATTGCACTAACTTTTTATTATGTTCTACTCCAAATTTCAACTGATTATAATTAATTATTTGATTCTAGCCGTGCTTGGGACATGCGGACAATGGAATCTCTTTGCCGAGCGTGCAAATATGCTGTAGGTTCGCTGATCTTCTTTTTTGGTGGCTTATTATTATATGTATTCATGGTTCAAAAACTTGGCCGAAAGGGTGAAACTAGAAATGAGTAACTTGGTCTGACTTGGCTCGTTTTGGCTCGGACTGCATGCACTAGATTTGGATAATATTTGTCATTACTAAGGGTGTAGCAGGTCTATCGACCAATACTTAAGATGTCTGATATTGCATTTTACCTTCATTTAGATAATTGATTACGAAGAATAACTGTAACATGCTGCTCTCCCTAATGAAATACTGAAAAAGATCTATTTTTGGTGTTCTTACTTAACTCTTCATCATGCCATCGGTTGAGACATCTTCTCCTCCCCTTAAGGTTGGAGGTTCAAATCCCCACCCTGCATGTGTTGTAATAGGAAAAAAAAACCTTCATCATAGCTAAACATAGCTAGTGACTTCGAACCAATGCTATACTGGAATTGTTGTAGATTGATGATTTAAAAAAAAATTGGTCAAAGATGTCAAATATTTGTGATAAAATAATAGTGGTATGTTTTGTGAAATAGAACAATCTGTTCCTTTGAATATATGACCAGTTTACTTCCCGTAGGTGAGAACTTCCGGTAGATTTATGGGAATCACCATTGGAGCTATGTTAGAAGAGATTCAAGGTCTATATAAACAGCATCATCAGCCTTGCTTCCTTTATCTATCCAGTGAAGTTATAAAGGTTTGAGCCCTATGTCTCACTTCGCTATGAATTTTCCATTTTTGTGTTAAGTGTATGGTTAAACTGCTGATTTTCCTTGATGCAGATTTTTGGTTCCGAACCCTCTTGCGCAAGCTATCTCCAAAATTTGATTGAAGCATTATTCATGCACACGACACGTCTTCTCACAAATATTCAGGTAGGCTGCAGCTATATTATTAATGTTATTGATAGGAACATGATAACACAAACTTCGGAAATAAAACTCTCAAGTAATTCGAGGTACTTGGACCCTCTCCTTTTGCGCTCGCATGAGATCAAACTAACCATATTGCTAATTACCGTATTACCCCTTGATATTGATTCCTAACATCAACCTTCCTCAATTCTGGTGGTATTTGACTTGCTAATTGGCTGTCTGCTTTTGTTTTGCAGGAATTTACTGCCAGACCAGATATTGCAGATGACTGCTTTCTATTGGCTTCGAGATGCATACGCTATTGCCCTCAATTATTTATTCCATCTTCAGTATTTCCAGCACTAATAGATTGTTCAATGGTTGGAATCACGGTACAGCATAGGTATACTTATCTCCCAGCTCTTGTTCTCTTGGAGATCCTCGTTGTCGGTCGCTTAGGTCGTTACTGGGAAGGCTTCTGTTTAAAAAATATGCTAATCTGTAATGAAGTGCTCATCCGTTCATTGTTTATTTCCATGAATCTAAATTACATTCTTTGTGGCATAGTGAGGAAGTATGATCCTCATCCCTTTGCATGGGCGTCCGGTAGGAGTTCTAAAGGCACTCCCAAAAATCCATGGATAGCCATCTCTTTCGACTTCCCTTTTTTCTTGTTTGGTGGGGGATGAGAATGATACTTACTTTTGGGAGGATAGATGGCTAGTAGATCGTCTCTTATGTTCTTTGTTCCCTCGCTTTTATATGCCTTTTTGTATTCTCTCACTCTTCTCGATTTAAAGTACGGGTTTGCATAAAATTAAAAAAAAAGAAAAAAGAAAAAAAAAGAAAGAATCTTAATTACATTTCTATTGATTGACTCTTATTTTTCTCTGCAGGGAAGCCTCAAATTCAATATTGACTTTCTTGGCTGATGTTTTTGATCTTGCAAATTCAAGTAAAAGTGAACAGTATATATCGAGAAGGGATGCAATAGTTATGCCTCGAGGTCACATTATCCTTCGAATTTTGGTTGCAGCCTTGACAGGGGCACTGCCGAGTTCTCGATTAGAACCGGTATTTATTGTTCTCTCAAAGATCATTACAGACATGTTTAAATCGACAATTCTACTCGTATTAGTCTCAGTTTAGCCCATTGGCTGTTGAGAATGACATGATGATCCCATCCCACTTTCCCAGGTCACTTACACGCTATTAGCGCTAACTCGAGCATACGGAGCGCAGGCATTGGAGTGGGCGAAGGAAAGTGTCTCATTGATTCCATCAACAGCCGTAACCGAAAAAGAGCGGTCGAGATTTCTAAAAGCACTATCAGATGCAGCCTCGGGGTGCGACATAAACACGCTTGCTGTACCGATAGAAGAGCTGTCAGATGTATGCCGACGAAATAGAAACGTTCAGGAGATAGTTCAAGGAGCTTTGAGGCCGCTTGAACTGAATCTGTTGCCTGTATCATAGGAGAGGAAAAATGGTTGGAGGATGTTACGAAGAGAGAGGGGGGGCCATTTTGAAACGGCCTCGGCTTGTCTCTGCCATATAGTTGCTTTGCGGTGTAATTCCGGTTGGTTTTATTCTTTTCTTCTTCTTCTTCTTCTTCTTCTTCATTTGGTGTATCAATTACCAGTCTCCAATTTTTAAGGAGAATGTTCATTTTTTATATCTTCTTTAATGGGGGTGGGTGAAATGAGAAACTGGTGGTGGTCATATGTTTTATTGATGATGAGCTGTGGGATGGTGGAGTGGTTTTTTCTTTTTCTTTTTTAATTTTTATGTTGTCTCTTTGGATGTCATTTTTTTGGGGGGTTTAAATCGCTTGACACATGTTGTAATTTATTACAATGAAAGAAAAGGAAACTTTGTTTCTATATGGTCTTGTTTTCCTGTTACATTATTATTATTACTACTTTAGCAAACTACACTCTACATTAAATTCTCTTCTTGTACGTACCATTGGATTGTTTCCACTTGAAAACTTGTTGAATTTTCAAAATTGTCATTCCTTTTCTTTTCTCTACTATTTTCTTTTTTTTTTTTTAAAAAAAAAAATTTCAGTAGTTACTATCTTTTTG